GGGTGTCTGAGCAGAAGGGAGGGTGCTGGAGGAGGCTGGGGGTGGGGGTCTGGATGGGAGGGTCTGGGGAGAAGAGTAGCCAGGGGATTGAAATAAGACTGTTGTGGTGGATGCCCCTGTACCTACCTCAGCAGAGTCACAGATCAGATCCTCAGACTGGCTCTGTCCAGAACAATTAGAATAGCCTGGAAATGAGTTGCATATAATGGGTATTTGAGGGAACAAAGCTTTCACAACATCAGTTTCCTGAGCAAATGGCCAACTTACAATGTAGATGCTCAGAAAAGGAATATACACAGTTAAAGTGACAGGTATTTGCACTTGGAAACCATCTACCTCTTCGGGTGCCCACCATTGCACCTTAAATTACTACCAAACTGGGTTGGAACATGCTCTCAATGCGAAATCTACCTCAGACCATCACTCCTCTTTGAGTGTGTGCTAAGTGCTATAAGCATTCTAAATAAAATCTTACGTCTCATGTGAAATATTTGACTGGTTCTGCAGTCGTTTCCATTTTATTTACTTATTGTGATTTTATTTTAATTGTTCATGTAGAGACTTGTCAAGAAGCAGAGCGGTGGCATTATGAGTAAGAGGCTTTTGTTGTTTGTGGTAGTAGTGTTCATTTTCAGGATCACCTACCGCTAGGTGGGTGCAAGCCTTGCAATGCAATGTTTAATGGCGCACATGAGGCGTGTTTGTGCAGGAAGCGTCATGTTCCCTCCTCTTGCTCCAATACATTGTGCTCTCTGGTGCAAGCACAGTATGAGCCTTGTTACCTGTTTGTTTTATAACGGTTTTTCACTGGGTTGACATACATTTTCAGATCTAGGATGAATAAGTTACACTAGGTGCTCTGTGTTTTCAACCCGTGTCCCAGAGTCCTTTCACTTGCATTAACATAAATCCATTAACTTCAGTAGACTTACTCCTGATGTGCACCAATGTCCAAGTCAGAGCAGAATCTGACTCTCTGTTCATAAAGGCTTCACGTATGTATGTGAAAAGACCATGTATAGTCATTAATACTAATCACAAGTTTCTGACACCTCCTTGTGAATTGTAGGGAAGCTAAATACACTGTGAATGAATTTGAATTGATGCAGTACCCCGTCATTTAATATTTAAGAATTATTCAGTTGCAACCTTTTTCTCTGTGGTAGTCATGCTCTGAACATGAATCTCTTGGTGTTGCGACAGTTATAATGTACACCCCCGCAGGAACAATATCATTTGATCTTTGCTATTGCTTCGTTCTGTCCATAATTATAGGAGCATCAGCTTTCATAAACTGAATAAGATGATGCTTATAACAAAGAAAAGCAAGCCTGGATTTGGATGTCTTTATTTGTACAAGTAGGAGTGGTACTGGCGTCAGTAAGGATTCTGGCATATTTTATTCTGCTGTCTTCTAATCCAAGGTGGGGGAAACATTGAATTTCATTTTCTGCTGTTGCCATACTGAGTGTCCCGAGGATGACTGTTTATAGCAAGTGTACCCCTTCATGATCTCTGCCTTAATGCTGACACAATTCATGCAATAGAGACAATAATAACTACTGTAGTTTCACTTTGTAACTAAAATCATGACTGTTAAATTGGATTTGTGTTGAAAGCTTTTGTGTGTGTGAGTGTGTTTCCTATTGTAAGTCAGTTTCCATGTGGCGTGATTGTATTTAACAAGTATCCAGTGCCGCTGGGATAATGTCAGATTATACTGTATGAGAACACTGCTCTTCAAACATGTTTAATACAATGCATGGTTCTCAGTGTTGGAAGGAAGAGGAGATCTTGGTTTTTACTGAGGAAAGGTTTTCTGCACACCACAACAGAAATCACGTCAAAAAGCCTGTCAGCTTACTGTGAAGAGATAATAGCCTTCTCTACAGAAATTTGGAGCTACATTTCCATTATAAATCCAATTTTGACCCCCTACCCAGCATATATAACTAGCAAAAAGTAAATCGGTCCATTTGCAATTTTCTATGTTTGATTAGAAGCCAGAGTGCAGTTTTTTATTGTTGAAAGTTTGAGGCAAACTGGAGAAGGCATTTCATAGATTAGTAAACTTTAAAAAAATGAGATTTTTTCCCCCCTTTTTGAAAGTTTCTTCATTTTTATTTATTTGGGTTGTTTCCTGACATGATTTGGGCTAGAAGCTCTCTCTGTGTGTGGGTTTTTTTTTTCTGCTGTTTTTGATGAGGACATGTTTGATTAGAATAGTCTTGTAGATTAATAATGTTAATCTGGGGGTTGGTGAATCCTCCTCGAAGCTGGTGGGTGTAACAGCAGCCCTTTGTTTAAAGTATATGTAAAAAAAAATCACATGCAAAAGAAGAGAGAGAAAGAGTGAGTGTGCGCGTGCGCGTGCGCGCGGCGGGGGGGGGACTATGGGCATACAGAAATTCATACAAAAAGGCATCTGAAATCGAAGCCAAAAAAGGACTTGTAGAGTGACCCTGAAAAAAAACAACCTGCTTTTGGATAAAGTGTTGACTAGAAAGAGGTTTGGAACTGAGCAAAAAATGTTCTGCTGTGGGTTAGATCCTAGTGTGTTCAGGGATACCAGGCTTTTACATTCTTTGTAAATAAATAGGGGTATGTCTACACTACAAAGTTAGTTCGAACTAACGGACGTTAGTTCGAACTAACTTTAATAGGTGCTACACTAGCGCTCCGCTAGTTCGAATTTGAATCGAACTAGCGGAGCGCTTAGTTCGAACTAGGTAAACCTCATTTTACGAGGACTAACGCCTAGTTCGAACTAGCTAGTTCGAACTAAGGGCTGTGTAGCCCTTTAGTTCGAACTAGTGGGAGGCTAGCCCTCCCCAGGTTTCCCTGGTGGCCACTCTGGCCAACACCAGGGAAACTCTATGCCCCCCTCCCGGCCCCGGACCCCTTAAAGGGGCACGGGCTGGCTACGGTGCCCGTGCCGGGTGCAAGCCTGCCAGCACCCAGCTAGCAGACCCTGCACCTGGCACGGCACAGAGCCACCCACCCGATGCCCCCCAGCCCACCCCCTCTTGCCGGGACCAGGCTGGCGGCTCCCGGGAGCTTGCCCTGGACCGCAAGAGGCGGGCACCTTCCTGGGCTAGTGCGGACATCGTGGACCTCGTCCACGATCTCCGCACTAGGCACAGGAAAGTGGCCGTCTAGGGCAGGAGAGCTGCCAGCCTGGCCACCCAGGACCAGGTGTGCATGAAAATCAAGGGGGTCCACTGAGACCCCCGACACTGAGCCCTGAGCTTACAATGGCCGTCCTGGGTCAGACCAAAGGTCCATCTAGCCCAGTAGCCTGTCTGCCAACAGCGGCCAACCCTAGGGACCCTGGAGGGGATGGACCGAAGACAATGACCAAGCCATTTGTCTCGTGCCATCCCTCTCCAGCCTTCCACAAACTTTGGGCAGGGACACCACTCCTACCCTCTGGCTAATAGGACTCCATGGACCCAACCTCCATGACTTGATCTCACTTCCCTTTCAACTCTGTTCTAGTTGTAGCCTTCACAGCCTCCTGCAGCAAGGAGTTCCACAGGTTAACTATTTGCTTTGTCAAGAACAACAACTTTCTCTTACTAGTTTCAAGCCTGCTACCCATTCCTTTCCTTTGGTGTCCTCTAGTCCTTCTTTATGGGAACTCAGGAAGAACTTTTCTGAATGCACACTCTCCACCCAACCCCTGCTTTTAGAGACCTCTATCCTGTCCCCCCTCCGTCTCCTCTTTTCTAAGCTGAACAGTCCCAGTCTCTGTAGCCTTTCTTCATCTGGGACCTGTTCCCAACCCCTGATCATGTTAGTTGCCCTCCCCTCTCCCAGCCTTTCTCTTCCCCTCTCCCACCTCCTTTTCCCAGTCTCCCCCAGTTTTGTTCAATAAAGACAGAGTCAATGTTGGAAGAAACGTTATCTTTATTTTGTACATCAATAAGAAGGGGGGCTAGGGAAGGGTAAGTGGAAGGAGGTGAGGGAGGAATGGGGTACGAGCCCCCGATGGGGAGGACTGGGCTGGCTCTGCGGGCTTCTGGGGGTGGAAGCTCTCCTGCAGCCCCCCAATTACTCCCTCTCCCCAGATGGCAGCCTGCGGCAAGTGCAGCCGGGCTGATGGCCGAGTGGTGTGATGTGCCCAGTGTGGGCACTCAGGGCACTCCAAGCCAGAACTTCTTTGCAAGCGGGGCACCCCTTAGAACTGTATGTCCGGGGTGGGGGTCGGGACCCTTTAAGCGCAGCCCTCGGCTAGCCTGAGACAGCATCTCCATGCTCTAAGTCCTCCTTTTATGCCCTGCCGGCACTGCTTCCGGCCATCCTTAAGCCCTGTTCAGAGTCCACTCAATGTGGACTTACTAGTTCGAACTAGCAAAACGCTAGTTCGAACTAGTTTTTAGTTCTAGATGCGTTAGTTCGAACTAGCTTAGTTCGAATTAACTAATTCGAACTAAGTTAGTTCGAACTAGCGCTGTAGTGTAGACGTACCCTAGGATTGCATCAAAGAAGTATGCAACTTCCATATCAATTGCTATAATGCACATAGTCTCAAAATTGTTTTAATCTGGCACTAGCTCTACCTTGCCTGCAAATCAATAGTGCTAGCTGGGGGTACAGCAAGTAGTATCGGGTGTGCTACGTTTTGTAAATAGTTAATACAGCATACTCCACACACATCCTGTGAAAAGGTAGGACTGTGAGGGGACAGGAACTCACAGGGGTGCTTCTGAAGTATAGTTTCTTTCTGGCACTTCCCCTGCAGCTGTGTGCAAACTTGGAACGCAGGTTCTTTCTGCTTGACACATCCCTATCCAGGTCCACCAATGAGGGCCGGGGGGAAGAAAAGGAGCAGTTGCCCTGGGGCCCAGCAATTCA